TGATTTTGGTGAATGGTCGCAGAGTTTACAACGTCAGATTTTACTCACTATCAATAATTTAGAGGTGGAGGGGGAAAGAGAAGGAGAGCACGAGGAAGGAAAGGAGGAAAAAACACACAGGAAGGAGGAGAGAGCAGGAGGAAGGAGCCGTATGAGGAAAAATGTACCAGACTGTAATGCATGTCGGGAGAAAAAAGGGCTTCACTTCAGTGTCCATTTGTTAAATGTGGCAGAAACTGGGTGTGAGTGTGTGTCGGCCATGATGTGTCTGCTGAGAGCTTCGCTAAATGTTTGTTGATTTTCAGACTTTGTCCTGCTGTTACCACACTCGGAGCACAGTTTCTGCCTAATTTTATCTACTTTGGTAGATGTAAACATTGATGACTATATTTTGAACTGCCTCTTCTGGACAAAGTAAATAACATTTTTAACCACTTCTCTCTAGCAAATATTTTACCTTTTTTTTGTTGACATTGGGTTATTATTATTGTTTTTTTTTCATCCGATTGTGACCTAAATATTTTGCCAACATTTTGCTGCATTTGTGGCCAATTTATGCCAATATTTGTAGCTTTTAGGTTTTGTTACAATTTGTTTTACTGCTGAATCCTTCTAGAATCTTATCATAGTAATTTTTTTTCTCATAGTAATGTTATATCGCTGTTACATCTCTATTATAATCGAGGTGTATTTGTCTATCACATCCTTCAATTTTGTCTGTGTTTTTTGGGGAGCCTTTTATTCAAAGGTACATTTGTCCTTCTTGTTTTGGGAACAATTGCATTTTTGTTTCCCTAACTGCTCATCCTCTGTCCTTTAATCCTCTCTCTCTCTCTCCTTCAGTGCTTTCGTCCCCCTGGTGTCTCCTTCCCAGAGGAGCGTCCTGCTCACCAGCGTCCCAGTGGAGGCTGCTGCCAGGCTGATGTATTTTTGATGAGGAGGTGCTGTGGGGGAGCCTCTGGAGGATCCTGCGGCCGCAGGAGGACAATGAACCTCGCTCAGGTTTCCTGCTGGACGCTACCGACACCGCTGCTGCTCTTTTCTTGTTTTGTGTCGGTGAAGTGGGAGAGTCCAGGCTGGAGTTACAGCCACACGAGGAGCAGAGTCACAGAGGCAGTGTTACAGCCCCAGCCCAGGACACCGTTTTTACTGGCTTTACTGTCAGGAGAACTGCAGGCGGCAGCTGTGTTTAAGGGTCAGACTTATTTCACGTAGATCAGATCCCAGTGGGACTATCCATTTTCAATTAAATCAACTCTTCCAGGAATTGAATTTGGTTGCACCAAACGGGGAAGTTCAGGTGCAAAAAGCATCGTCAAGAAAATAATAACGACACATTTATCTTTTTAGCTCTTACAACGCCATTCTCACCGAGAACCTGCAGAGAAACGCACCAATAATGGAGCCTAGCACAGGTATCCTTACTTTGTCTGTGTTCTCTGATTCACTTCAAGTTTACCTCTACCTTTTGTTGATAGGTAGACAGGTTAACAGGAAGAGAAAGACAGTCCATGCCACAGTCAGAGTAAGTTTGCTCTAAGAAAGCATCTGGAGCTTCACTTCAAACCTGCAGGTGTAGGTGAAGTGCTGAAGATCTCTCCCCAAGCAACCCCACTAACACACACTAACCCCTTCCTGTAGCCTCCTGTCTTTAATTTGTACTGGCGGACATTGAAATATTTAGTAGGAACCCTACAGGCGATTACATTTAAAGTGTGTGGTTAGACGCTGCCTACCCCTCGGTGAGGAGCCGGGGCTGATTTTGGTGAATGGTCGCAGAGTTTACAACGTCAGATTTTACTCACTATCAATAATTTAGAGGTGGAGGGGGAAAGAGAAGGAGAGCACGAGGAAGGAAAGGAGGAAAAAACACACAGGAAGGAGGAGAGAGCAGGAGGAAGGAGCCGTATGAGGAAAAATGTACCAGACTGTAATGCATGTCGGGAGAAAAAAGGGCTTCACTTCAGTGTCCATTTGTTAAATGTGGCAGAAACTGGGTGTGAGTGTGTGTCGGCCATGATGTGTCTGCTGAGAGCCTCGCTAAATGTTTGTTGATTTTCAGACTTTGTCCTGCTGTTACCACACTCGGAGCACAGTTTCTGCCTAATTTTATCTACTTTGGTAGATGTAAACATTGATGACTATATTTTGAACTGCCTTTTCTGGACAAAGTAAATAACATTTTTAACCACTTCTCTCTAGCAAATATTTTACCTTTTTTTTGTTGACATTGGGTTATTATTATTGTTTTTTTTTCATCCGATTGTGACCTAAATATTTTGCCAACATTTTGCTGCATTTGTGGCCAATTTATGCCAATATTTGTAGCTTTTAGGTTTTGTTACAATTTGTTTTACTGCTGAATCCTTCTAGAATCTTATCATAGTAATTTTTTTTCTCATAGTAATGTTATATCGCTGTTACATCTCTATTATAATCGAGGTGTATTTGTCTATCACATCCTTCAATTTTGTCTGTGTTTTTTGGGGAGCCTTTTATTCAAAGGTACATTTGTCCTTCTTGTTTTTGGAACAATTGCATTTTTGTTTCCCTAACTGCTCATCCTCTGTCCTTTAATCCTCTCTCTCTCTCTCCTTCAGTGCTTTCGTCCCCCTGGTGTCTCCTTCCCAGAGGAGCGTCCTGCTCACCAGCGTCCCAGTGGAGGCTGCTGCCAGGCTGATGTATTTTTGATGAGGAGGTGCTGTGGGGGAGCCTCTGGAGGATCCTGCGGCCGCAGGAGGACAATGAACCTCGCTCAGGTTTCCTGCTGGACGCTACCGACACCGCTGCTGCTCTTTTCTTGTTTTGTGTGGGTGAAGTGGGAGAGTCCAGGCTGGAGTTACAGCCACACGAGGAGCAGAGTCACAGAGGCAGTGTTACAGCCCCAGCCCAGGACACCGTTTTTACTGGCTTTACTGTCAGGAGAACTGCAGGCGGCAGCTGTGTTTAAGGGTCAGACTTATTTCACGTAGATCAGATCCCAGTGGGACTATCCATTTTCAATTAAATCAACTCTTCCAGGAATTGAATTTGGTTGCACCAAACGGGGAAGTTCAGGTGCAAAAAGCATCGTCAAGAAAATAATAACGACACATTTATCTTTTTAGCTCTTACAACGCCATTCTCACCGAGAACCTGCAGAGAAACGCACCAATAATGGCTCACTGAGTTGTTTTTACCTGTGAACAAACACCAAGTATCACCTGATGTCACTGTGAATCAATTTAGCTGTAAGCTGTAATGCTGTAATGTCCTAGGACAGTGAAGGCATCACTGCTTGGTTCACACTTCCAGTAGATAGTGTTTCCCTTTAGTTTGGTTTGACTGAGTCGGTCAACATTAGTTACATGTGTACAGTAATAATCTAATTTACCTGCAGCTCGTGTTTTGAAGGTGATACGGAGAAATGGGTGTAACACACACACAAGTTCACACACACAAATACACCAACAGAGAGGATTATTAATTGATGGGAATTCCTTTGCCCATTCACTTTCTCAGCAATTAATACATTAATTAATCATACGCTTGATTTAATTTGTGGCCGTTGCAGCAGAGGGATCTTCCAGGACACACACACAAACACACACACACACAGACACACACAGACGGTCAGCAGCACCCAGTCAATCACGGGGTGATTTCCCACACACAGATCTGTCTTGTCATGATGTATTCAGTTTTTTCCCAATGATAACCTTCATGCAGTGTCCCCTGAGGAACAGGTCAAAGGACTGGAGGACAGGCAGGGGTTAATCCCTCTCTAGGTTTGATGGTGTGGCTGTCACTCAACAACAACAACAACAACAACAACAACAATAATAATAATAATAATAATGTTTTAAAAAATGCAGATATTTGTATTTTATTCTAATGACAAATGAATTAACAGTATTAAAGTAATTGTAAGTTCTCCATACTACTACATATACTACATATACTATACAATACACCTTAATATTTAAAAAAAAAAAATAACCCAGTGTGTTGTCTATGTATTGTCTAATCAACAAATTATTTAAAATGCCCCTGCAGTTCCTCCAATGACCTCTGCTTCGGGACGTCTACGAGTAACTTTAAAACAAGATATTTATTTTTTCAATAGACAGTACGCCTTAGAAGAGACAACTGAAATTCATATATTTTCTCAGCGGTTCATAAATATATCTCTTATATATAAATAACCGCTGCTGACTCCTCACAGTTTAAGTCAGACTTTGAATATTTTAAAGTTGTGATGTCACGAAGGGTCACTGAGAGTTCAGAGGGAAGTGATGTCACAGGTGATAAATGTTTAACTCACATAAACACGTCTTCATCTGAGGAATTCATCCAGTCCATAAGGGTGTGATGTGGTCCTCAAATGGTGGGTTGTGACCCAAAAATGAACTATAAGAAAAACTATAGAATTACCCAAAAAAATCAAGTTTTTGGACCAGGACTTTGTCACTTAGGAACCGATTCTGTTTATTTTCTTTTTTTTAAGGCCCTAATTTAAATCTTATAAAGTGAATAAAAAAGAACACGTTTCATTGTCATTTTGAAGTATTTTTGTGTTCTGCTGCTGCTCTTTTTAAGTATCTTTTAACACAGTTGTTCTTTTGTATTACATGTTGGGTGATTTACACAAACACACAAAAAGAAAATAATATTAATTTAATTTTTAAACACGGGATATACAGTTTAAGGACAAAATATACATTTTACAGAATTGTCTGGGATTTTTCTTTTTGCACTTCCTTAATTTTATATATAAATAATAATATATAAATGACATTAGTTATATATTATTATTGTTTGTCATATTTCCAATAAAAATATAGAGTCATTTCATAGATATTTTACAGACATTATATAGATTTCTATCTTTTATGAAGAATTAATCCATGCTTTAATCTCACAGATTAAAGCGGTATTTTAATCCAGGGTGACGATAATAATCGTTGCAGACATTCCTTCCTGCAGGTGTTCAGTTCGGTTTTGTGTGTGCAGGTCCAGAACAGCAGCATCTTTCCTGCCTCGGCCGCACGCTTGGGGGCGCGTCCACAGACGTGATTGGCTGACGTTCCACCAATGAGGAGGCGACTGCGTGCCGACGTACGGATATATGCGCTGGAGGCAAAGGAGCATCTCCATCACAGAAGTCCTCAGCAGGAGACCAGGAGGCAGGAGACTCTGTTGGAGTTACACCTTTGTCCTTCTTGCTTTTCTTTTTCCTGTGATTTTGTCCGAAAGTGTTTTCACCAACATCGTTTCTTTCTCTGAGTGTTTTCGTCACAGACACTCTGGTTTTTGTGGGTTTTTTTCTTTTGGTTTTGTTTTCCTCTCTGAGGCGTTTCTTGGTAGAAAACCACCAAAACGGAGCCGAACGAGGACGACGCACAGCGACCCTCCCTCACTTCTGCCATCATGATGTCCATGAACAGCAAACAGCCTTTCAGCATGCACCCGATGCTGCACGAACCCAAATACACGCCGCTGCACTCCAGCTCCGAGGCCATCCGGAGAGCCTGCCTGCCCACACCGTCGGTGAGTCCGCAGAGAGGGGCAAAAAAACAAACAAAAAACCCCCCAAAAAACACCTGCACTACTCCTTTAAATCCACAGTCTTTAACTAAACTTTAGCAGGAAGATGTGGTGAGTTATATGATTCACACCCAGTGTAGAAGCTGAACTTTTGTTGGATGTTTTGAATGTAAAAACACAAAACAAGTTAAACGCGATATTTGGGAAAAAACACGAATCAAACTGGGTCTAAAACTGTGACAAATAGATGAGAAATCACGTGAATATGTGTGAAATAATTGCAAAAACACAATTGTGTATTAATGCGTGTTTTTTCCACCAAACATATTTTTATCTTTGCAACTGAATTTAAGACAATCCTTACGTATGTTTAAAATTCAGTCAAAAAGGTATGAAAAATATAATTTTTAAATATTGATTGGATTTGATTTTGGATTTTGTTCTCATTAAAGAAAAAAATATTCAGTGTATGATACTCTTAAATACATAATAAAAGTAGAGTTTATGGATGTGGAAGCGAGGCCAGACATTCAAACTCGACCTGGTCTCATGCCACTGCGCGCAGAAATTATTTAGAGGATTGTAAATATTAATTTTAAATGAACAAATCCAAAACACGCGGCTGACACACTTTCTCTCTTCTCACAACAACAACACAAATTACAGGCAAATTCCACACATACATATATATATACATATATATATGTATATAGAAATGCATTTATATCATTCCCATGTTATATTCAAGGGTTGTTTTTTTTTTGTTTTTTTTCCATGTGATAATGACAAATATTACGGTATCTCCACAGGGTTAAAGTTTTATTGTAAATTTAATTTGACTTCTTGAATTCAAACGCGTAAAGTTCGAGTTTGAATCAATTGAAGGAAGCAGGAATTGAAACAAGAAAGTGGATGAGTTTTAAATAGATAGATAGACTAAATTAATCAACTCCCGATTCGTCGATAAAATCCTCTCTCTTCTCCTCCTCCTGCAAATTAGTTTTTTTGTTATTCTGCGAAATTCTATTCGTCTGAAGTTGATTTTTTTCTCTCTCTTCTCCTCCTCCTGCAGCTCCAGGGAAACATCTTCGCTGGTTTCGATGAGACGCTCCTCCAGAGAGCGGAGGCTCTGGCCGCCGTCGACATCGTGGCTCAGAAGAGCCACCCGTTCAAACCGGACGCCACCTACCACACCATGACCAGCATGACCAGCATGACGTGCACGCCCACATCCTCCTCAGCGCACCTACATCACCCGTCCGTGCTCACCTCCCACCACCACCCGGGTCACCACCAGCCGGCCCAGGGCCTGGAGGGCGACCTCCTGGACCACCTGACGCCCGGCATCTCCCTGGGAGGCATGTCGACCTCCGACGTCTGCTCCACGGCCTCGCACACCGCCCACGCCGCTGCCGCCGCACACATGTCGGCCATCAACCACATGCAGCACCACCATCACCACCACCACACGCAATCCATGAACATGCACGCGCACGGCCTGGGCTCGCACGGCTCATTGGGGGGCTCCGGCGGCGCGGACGCGGAGCCCGACCCCCGGGAGTTGGAGTCGTTCGCGGAGAGGTTCAAGCAAAGGCGGATCAAGCTCGGAGTGACCCAGGCGGACGTGGGGTCCGCCCTGGCTAACTTGAAGATCCCCGGGGTCGGGTGTCTGAGCCAGAGCACCATCTGCCGGTTCGAGTCCCTGACGCTGTCGCACAACAACATGGTGGCGCTGAAGCCCATCCTGGAGGCCTGGCTGGAGGAGGCGGAGCGGGCGCAGCGGGAGAAGATGTCCAAGCCGGAGATCTTCAACGGCGGCGACAAGAAGCGGAAACGCACGTCCATCGCGGCCCCGGAGAAGCGCTCGCTGGAGGCGTACTTCGCCGTGCAGCCGCGGCCCTCGTCCGAGAAGATCGCAGCTATCGCCGAGAAACTGGACCTGAAAAAGAACGTAGTCCGCGTTTGGTTTTGCAATCAGAGGCAAAAGCAGAAACGGATGAAGTTTTCTGCGACGCACTAAAGCAAAAACAAAAACAAATCAAATGAAAAAAAGCAGCAGGACAAATCAGAGACAACACTGCTGATGCTGATGCTGATGCTTCTGATGCTGAGGCTGATGCTGAGGCTGATGCTGCTGCTGCTGCATCACTGTCAGACAGAGGGAAACACAGGCTGCACCTGCTGTTCCTTAGACTCAAAGACTGGCACTTAAAAAGTTCAACAACTCAGTTCTGTCTAAAAAACTTAATTTTTTTAATTTATTTTATTTATATATTAATTTAAACCCGATTTTAAGTTATTCTCACCATTAAATATCCTGTTATGAAGGTTAGAAAAACTGTGATGCTGCATCTTCTCCTCCATCACTTAGTTATTTATTCAACCTAACAGAGGCATGCACAGTAAACTCCGGGGTCAGGTGTTCGAGTCAGGAACTTATCAGATCAAATTGACTTGAAAATATATTGTTAAAAGTTCCATTCACAAAGTGACTTGTTTTTAATTGGAAAACGTAGTTGGTTCGTTGTTTTTTTCTTTTTGAGGACTTTTTACGTTTACCATTTTCATTCAGAGATTTTTGAAAATATAATTATAGACAATTCTGAATACTCACCTCAGAGTGTATTTTCATAGAAAGTTAATTCACTGCTAAGGCTGTGGTGTCAATTTTAATTTTTAATTTTAACAAACCAAACCTTTTTAAAATTAACCTTCATGTCCTCACAGATTCCAAAAGAGGTTTCCCAAAAATAATTGGACAAATAATGCTGTACAACACGTTAGAAAAAGTTCAATATTATATTTTTTAATTCAGTTTTATTCGAGCTTGAGAATTGACAAAAAAAGTTGACATACAAATATAATATAAATATATTTATTTATGCAACCCTTCACTACAGTATTATACATTTATAATCCCAGAATGCATTTCAAAGAGGACACAAAATCTGTAAAAATATAGAATGAGAAGAAGGTTTAAATCAAAGTATCTTTCCAAAAGTCACAAAACAAAAACGTAGACACATGAACCGGAATCCTTCAGTGCATGTTTGTGTTCATTAGATTAGCAAAAAAAAAAAAAAAAAAGTTAAATCTTTAGGTGGTTATCAGTGTTGCAGCAGCATTGACACAGTTGAAAAAAAATCAAGTTTGTCAAAGTATTTAAAACAGAACCGTATTTCTATTTTTTATTATTCCTTTTTTTTTTTTTTTTTTTTTAGTTTTTGGAAGTAGATGCAAAATCAGAAAACCTCATCTCTGGACATAGTGTTGGAGAAACTGACGCCCCCTGGATGCCCTGACCGACACTTTTAAAGAAGAAAAATTCTCTCTTCATTTTTATTTATTTATTTAATTATATTTTTTTTTTCTGCAAGAACATCTGGAGTCAACAGTGAACCTTCTGGTTTCCCTGAGTTCTGCAAACATACTGTGACAGTGGAGATGGAGCATGAAGCACCTGCGGGACCAGGAGACCCCAGAGACTCCTGACATACCCTCTCTCTCTCTCTCTCTCTCTCTCTCTCCCTCTTTCTTGCCCTCTCACCCTCTCTCTCTCTCCTTGTCAGCCTCTCTGTGGAGATGCTGAATGTCTTTTTTTGGGGGGGGCTGGAACAGAAGAGGAACCAAACCGTGACACTCTGTAGCCTGTTCATCCATCCACGTGGCAATTATTGTACAAAATAAATTATTAATAACAATAATAGTGAAGAAAATAATGATAAAAGTAACGGGGAGGAACTGAAGGATAATGGAAGACTATCCTCCTTGGTTGGAAATGGTTTTTATATTTATGGTGTGTACATAGTTGTGAATAGGCTGCACCTCCATGTGTGGGAAAACATCTTGTTGATATTCTCTGTTTTTGATTGGTTTTCCTGCCTTGGTTTCCTTCCAGGTGTTTGTTTTTCAACTTAAATGTTTTGTGAGGATCACACACACAGACACGCACCACATTTGTGACACAAAATGTTTAGAAAATTTGAAGAAGAAAAAAACAACCCTAAAACCAACAACAACAAGGTTTTGTGGCTAAAACTTGAGTTGACACAGTAATAATAATAATAATAATAATAATAATAATAATAAGTAGACGTGTCATTCATATTGCATGGAAACATGAGGGCAGAGGAGGACGAACGCACTGCAATAAGAAGACACACGAACACGAGCACGAACACGCGCGCACGTCCACGCAGATTAGCGGTGTGTGGGTGTGCGTGTGTCTACCTCATCACACAAGTGTTGGCACGTTCACGGTGGATTTTAAAAACACAAACACACGAAACAGTTTGGAAAGATTATTTTTATTTTATTCATTTCCTTCTTTGTTATATTGAATTTTCCCATGTTGTTGAATTAGGCCTCACAGGAAGAAGACGGTGAAAACCCTGTTGTTTGTTCACTGCAATGAAGCTTTGACAATCAAATTTATTATTATTATTATTATTATTATTATTATTATTATTATTATAAGTTCCTCTTGTTGCTCGTTTTTATTTATAATAATTTCGTCACTGTCACTTCTGTGGAGCGCACTTTGTAGATATTCTGATGAAGGGAGTGAAAAATATTCATAAAAGTCTTATTTATACATATTTTTTCACCACTTACGAGATCACGGTCCCGTTTTGTTCCGTTACGTGTTATTTTATTTTATTTTTTTTATTATGTATTGTTATTATTTGGTTTCTATTTATTCTACCTTAATTTATTTTTGGACTTGGTGAAGAAGAAGAAGAGGAAAAAGAAAAGAAACGTATTTCATTTGTGAAAGTGTGCTTAAAATGTGTCTGTGTAAGCGGCAGAAGCTGAAATAAACCTGTGCACGTTTTACTTCATACTCTGATTTTTATTTGTATTTATTTATTTATTTGGTGAAAATAAACTGTATCTCAGGGAAAAGCTTCATCCAGTCACTGGTGCATAAAGACCACGCGTAAAATTAGTGGAATTGCATGCATTTAGACGTTTTGTAATTTTTTAAAATGGTTTTAATGTTTAAAATAGAGCGTTGAACGAATTTCGGACGTAAATAATTTTATTAATTTCCAAACTCAGAAACGTGCAATCAATGCATTTTAATCACGTTTTGAAAAAAAGTGAAAAAAACTAACAAAAACAAACCCAAACAGATAAACAAAGTTTATTTAGAACCGTTTAGAACATCGAGTTCTTTTGTACCTGCCAATAAAACCAGTGGAATAACTGTATTAAATGAAGAATGTGTACTTGGCCTTTTACATGCTTTTTTACATTAAAGTGATTTTGACATTTACAAAGACAAACCAGAATTGGATATTTTGCACAAAAACTGCAAAAACATGTTACACTTAAGGTATTTGTAATAACAAATGGACACATTGCTTGTCTTTAACGAACGACTCTCAAAATATTAATTCAAAATGAGCGGTTAAACTTTTTATATATAATAATAATAACAACAATAACAATAATAATAATAACAATAATAATAATGCATTTTCACGTCAATTTGTGGTGCAAGGTTTGTGCGATGAACCCAGCAAAAAATGAATTTCCTATGGTTATACTAACAGATGATGGCGGTAACCGGAGCGATCTTTCTGCCTAATGTTTGAGTATATTTTTGTGTGTATTTGAGGTTTTTGCTTCAATAGGTTAATGTTGCATCTAGTGTTACACATTATCTTCACCGAAATGTTTCATTTTTTACCAATTTATAACGTGAGAGTAAGTTTGGTGCGTTAAACAACAATGGCGCACGAAAACAGCAAAACAGTGAAAAACAGGTTAACACAAAAAATATGATAATTTATATTAAATTGTTAAATTGGCTAAAAACTAAATAAAAAACGCTTCTAAAGTGTGATTTTAAGATTAGAATGATGTTGGATTTGCGTAAAATCAAGGGACTTTGCTTCAAAACATAAATATCCGTGTTTGAGTATTTTTATTCCGTCTTAGAATAACGTGTCGATGCTCTTCAACAAAGACGTGGATTCAGCAGAATGACAGACAGATGTGATGGACCACAGCAATGTGAGCACTGAGGTTGTGCAGAGGCGGAGGAGCAGAGGGAGGAGGAGGAGCTGGAGGAGCTGGAGGACCAAGAGGAGGTGAAGGCAGCAGCTGCCGCCGTGTAACAGGAGAAGGCTGGAGGTGAAGGAGGTCCGCCTGAAAGCTGTTTCCCAGCGGTGATGATGAATAGAGTTTGATACTTGAGTGACTTTAATATTGATCACCAGGGAGAGCTCGACGTTGTTGCCAGCTTCTCTAAATTTATCTTTTTCAGGAAAAAAAAAAAAAAAAAAAAGTTCAACCTCTGACGCTGAAAGGGCGGGGCCTGGTAACGGCACACGTCACTAAAAAGTTTGAAAATGACTTTACAAAGAACTTTTGAGCAAATTAGCGACAAAACGGACGTCATTTCCTGTCGTTCGTATCAAGCGGATATGGGTTACATCAGATTTATCTTCGTGTCCGTGACCGTTAATAGTTGAAAAGTATTCAACCAAGAATTATACCTACTTAAAGATTCAGAGTAACGAGAGCAACAGAGACGGGCATAAAAAATGTCCAGTTCCAGTTTGTTCAGAAATAGACGGAGATTCGCCAACCGTATCCCCAGAAGAGGTAAGCGTTAGCCAAAATGATAACCACCGATATCCAACATTGACAGAAAGAGAGTAAAGATAAAAGTAGAAATATCTTTAGCCATACCTTTTACTAAAAAAGAAAATGAAATAAATAAATATATAAATAAAAATATAGGCTCAATACTCAAATACTAAAAATACATTTTGATATAAATTGCCAGACCAAGGTGGCCAAAAGCATAATGTGACAATTAGCATAATATGGCCAAAAGCTTTCCAAGGAAAAGCTAAAGACTAGCCATATTTTGTTGTTAAAATGGCAACTAATGTCATGTAGATTTCGTAAATGCTGTTATTCAATGATAATCTATCTTTGCTCTTACAAATGTGCTTTTACAAACGTGTCAATAATATATATTGAGGTGAAATAATTTTTGGCTGTTAAAATGATGCTAACTGTGCATTTATACATCACAACATTGTTTGTGTTGTATGACCATCAGAGCTTGGTAGGATTACAGTATATAGATCAGATAAATGTTTAAAAAAACTGATGAAATATACCACATTTCTCAGTTTTACCAGGATTAGTGTAGAGTCTTTCATTTCTACGTTTTTGTGTCTTATTTTATTTTAACAGCGCTTTCTCTTCATTCCTTTAGCTCAGCAGGTGGTTTTCAGCCATAAACTCGTTATTAATGAATAATAAATATCAGCTGTTATGATACTATTGATTTCTGCCTGTGTTTGTTAAGAAGCTGCTTTTCTCTGTCGTGCAGCAGCAGCAGCAGCAGATCAGGCCTCCAGCTCCACAGAGAAACTCAGTTAAGGCCTTTTGAAGCAATGCAGATACAGGTAGGGGCTTATACAGTATATGCCCCCTCTGTGGGGCACTGAGGAGAAAAGAACCCAACAGAAGATTTACTATAGTTTTATAAAATAAAGAAGTAACACATTTTATATCATTCAACAGATTAAATTGTCATGTTTTTAAATGGTTAAGACTTAATGATGTACAGAATTTGATATTAGAAGCATTCATATCAAATGAAGGATTAAAAACAACAGTCAAAATCTTCCTCTTTAGCTCTAAGGAGCATTGATTAGTAGATGAGTAGTGCACATTCAGCAGAAGTTTCCACCCTTGGCCTTTATATGCACCCGAGATTACGCTCGATGATGTCCGGCCTCTTTATTGCCAAATACAAATAAATAAAGGGGGAAATGTGTGCTTTTTCTTTGTGTTATGAGTGCAATTGCGGGGGGGAAAAAAACAACGTTAAAGGATTGGTGTCGGTGGAAAAAAAAAACAACGTTAAAGGATTGGTGTCCTGCCATTTTTTAAATAGCATTTAAACAACATTTTACACCAAATGATGCGGTGCACATGCATGACACACAACTGTACTGTAGAACCAAGTATTGCAATTGTGACAACCGTCACAAACAATCAGAGCAGGTTAAAAAAAAAAACAAGAATACTTTGCTGCATTATGGTGCTTTTGTCAATTATGACAGCTTTGTATTGTCTTTAGCAGCCAGACAGTTGCTGCTGCTGCTATTGCTGCTACTGCTGCTGCCATCATGTCGGTCTATAACAAAGAATGTAGTACATGACTTCATCAAAGTTTAATGGCCGAGCGGCTCTCCAGTTGAAGGCTATAAATTATAGATAATTGACCGTGTAATCAATGTGAAGAGTGTATCAAGTTTTCCCTCAGACAAAGTTACGGAACGTAAATTACACACAGAATAAAAGAAAGAAAGAAAAAAAACAAAAACGCTTCAAAGTCACCAGTATATTTATACATATTCACAGAGAGGAAGTCCATGGCTTTTGTTCAGATGAATGTTGTCATTCTGTATGTTCTTCATGAGTGTCCTTTACTTTGTTATGTTTCAGGGATGGTGAACTGAACATGACCTGAAACACGAGAATAAACAATGGATATTTTCACTAATAAGTAAGTTAACAAGCTGTGAATTATTAGGTACGTGGATATGAGTATTACTACGAGTTTTATATATATGTATGTATATATACTGCATATGTGTGTGTGTGTATGTGTGTGTATATATATAAATACAGTATATGTGTGTGTCTTTATTTATATATATATATAGTATATGTGTGTGTATATATATGTATGTGTATATATTTATGTGTGTGTGTGTGTGTTTCACATGGTAATGAGGTCGTGAGCCACAGGTGTAGAGGGCCGAAGGGGAGGAACACAGGTGAAGATAATGGAAACTGATTGGCTGACAGATGAAGCCAAGCAGGCAGAGGAGATCACGGCAGGTGTGAGAGAAGGACACAAGCAGAGGACGATAGCGGTAAGACAAGATAAGGACACATGAAAACCCAGTTGACGTGTTGTGTTGTTTGTTTTGTTGAAGGTTTGGTGATACGTATTGATACGTTGTTGAGTGAACCTGTTAGTGACACATGTCCCTCACAGCTACTGGACGTACATTGTATCATAAAGTGGTCTCAAAGCTGTAAAATCTGTCTAGAGATTTTTTTATATATAACCTTTACTAGGTCACATGACCATTAAAATACTCATGCAAATTTGTGCAAACAATTCTAATATAATGACCAGCACAGCAGTGAGGGTAGAGCTATAAGAACATCAAGTGGAATGGGAGGTGGTCTGTGCTCTGGTCCTGGTCCCTCATCAGCACATGCATGATTACACCACATGCTGGACCAGGCCCCAGTTGGAGAGAGGTAGGAAATGAAGCTCCATATGTGCTTTAATTCTACTCTCTCTCCCTCTCTTTCACATTACTCCATCCACTCTCCTCCCCTTTCTACGCCTGTGTTTTCCATGAAGCGAGGAAGCACATTTTCATAAATAGACCTTGGCCGAGCGCAGGCGAGATGAAATTTTAATGAAGCTCTGAGTCTTGAGTGCAGAGCCGGGGCCTTGGAGAATCAGCCCTGTGTTACATTACTGTGGCTCTCTTTCTCTAACACACACACACACACACTAATGCAAACACACACACACTGGCATGTTGCAGTGGTGGAGCAGTCATGCAGCAGGCGGTCACATATTGACAGGATGGCTGGAACGGCACTAAATGAAGGGGAGGGTGTGTGTTTTTTGCATGTGAGAGAGAGAGAGAGCGTGTGTGTGTAGAGCGTAGGGGTCTAATTTGAGGGGGGAGTTGGATTTGGTTTTAAAATTTTTGCTCGACCCTCATTAGTGTTCCGTTATGGAGATAAAGGAAAAACCCCAAGTTCAGGCAGCAGTAAACACACACACACACACAGTGGAAATGTTCAATTCTGTTGATGCAATATTTATCAGAGATGTTTGTATGGATAAATCCTCCTTTTTGGCTTTTTCTGCAAAAGGTATTCATGGGAACCCCAACACAAATACAAGACTGAAAAATCCTTCATATTCACCATAGAAGACGCTAACGTCATATTCATGGACCACAATGGTTTAATAAAATAAAAATAAATAGATTTTTAAAATAACATTGAGGGACTAATGATTGCTGACAGATATGAGGAATCTCTGCTGGATACTAGCATACAGTGTTCTAACTACAGTAATTCTGCAATCAATCACATGAGCTACGCAAAAATAAAAAGCACAACACAAAAAATTGACAAAGAAGTGAATTGTATTTTAGTGATACTTCAAACTTGAAATACTATGCGTTTAAGAAAATGTAACTATGACTGAGTTATCAAATTATTTTATGCACTGGTTCATGTAAGTGCTGCAGGAGACTTAGCCCCTTCCCATGTTCCTAACTGGTTAAGATGTGATGAAGCCAATTCCAAGCTAGAATTGATCGACATCCTGTGAGAATGGAGGGAAAAGTATAAAATAGGCCAAGGCCTAAGGTTCAATACTGGTATTTTTGTAAAAAAAAACAAACAAACTAGTCTACTGCCTGACAAATGAATGTCATTGCTGAGCCCTAATAGGATTAGCTGCACTTAACTGTGTGTGTGTGTGTGTTCTCTTGATGACATATGTACATATATGTAGATGAGTGTGTTAATTAAAACACGGTGGTCATAATGAGGAACAATGTATGACTAATTAGACCAAATGAGCAGCGGGGGAGGGATGGGATGATCAAACAGCCCAGTTATGAGGCCTAATGGGCTAAGAGCTATAACCTCACTATCATCCCCATCACCATCTCCTCCTCCTCATCGTCTCCACTGTCCTTATCATCAGTATCTTCATCGTCCTCCTCCTCCTCGTCATTTCTTCTCATTGTTCAGTGTTTAGCCAAAGACATATCTGTGAGTTCAAGTGTCGACTCCAAACTGTTGCAGCCAGGATGTTGGAGCGAACCAACTCCAGACGCAATGAAAAATGCAATGAAGGGCATGTATTATGAAAAGCATAACAATACTGTAGTAGCAGCAGCAGCTGCTGCATTATCAATATTTACAAGGAAACAGGAAAATCCCTCTCTGATCCTGGGAAAACCCGCTTTGGTCTTCACTCTCCTGTTGCTTTTTGAACGGAAAAATACAAACGTGGGGTCAGAGGTTAAAATCTAATGTTATTTTTTATTTTGTTAATGTGATTATGTCTGATATATTTTTTTCACGCGTTGTAAATATTTGACTATAGAAACTCAGCAACAGTCTGTTACAAAAAAACATGGTATATTTCATCAGGTTGCTGTATCTGTCCCTGATAACAGACAACCAAATAAGAACTAACTTTTAGGTCCTTCAGGACTGAATTACTACTTTATTATAACTGATTATCATCATTTTCTTTAAATATTTTGTACACAACGCATATGTGTTCTAAAAATGCCAGAGCTGATATAAAAGATCTGAATCATGTCATTCATGATGGGACTTACATTTTGGGAATTTTAATGTACAAAAATGACAAATAACAAAAGGAAAAATACATAAGATATTGAATATATTTATGGGTCGTCTCCTGTGCTCTGACAGTGCTTTGTTACATTGACTGAACCACAACACTAACACTGTAGCCTCTAAATGCACCTACTATTTTATTTGTAATATTCTATCTAGAGTTCATCCTGTTCTGGATTATTTTTTTTTTACCAGACTGAATCACTGTGTCTAGTCTGTGTCTAACTTTAGGTTAAATATGGGGTTTTACCTATTAATAATGTAACAAAAACACACACACACACAAGCAGAGCATTTAAATATTCATCCTGCATCTACATACTGTACAGACAAACAGTGAGTCTGTGGTTTACGTTTGCTAATTTGATGACAGTGTAAAAGATGACTAAATAAATCGACAATTAATACAATGTAAATACATGTCTAATTTCAACAGCATTTAAATAAAATAAAATCGTATTATGTTTAATTAAAAACAAAATTCTTTAAATTAAATACATAAAACAAACATATTTTATACAATTATGTTTTTACTTTAAAATATTATGGAGGTTGTTCACTTTTTATTGTCAACACTTGATCCCTGACGAGAGGCTCTATATGTAGTACATTACCATATACTCCACACACACACACACACACGCGCGCGCAGAGGTCAGAATTACAATGCCCGCAGTCTGCTTTCATCAGCACTGCATCAACACTAAGACTGAGAATCAGTGGTGAAAGTTAATTTCAGAGCCCGCGGGGCAGAGAATCACCAACTCCATCTGAACGCTGCACCGGAAATCTCTGCTTTGTGTCAAAGCTGATGCATGATGGGAAACTCTGGCCCTAGCTGCCGATTCACGGCTAAATTGACATCAAGTTGTTGAGATTTGATTCCTTTTATTTTAGCTACATCAATGCTACATTGATGCGTCTCAGTAATTCATTAATTCGCGTCAGGTTATTTACCTTACAGTGACACAAGGGCTGCTGGTCCACTGCTGCCTCAAGTGGTGAGGTTGTGTTATTGCATAATATGCTGAATCTAAAATCAAAAACTACTGTACCAAATCCCAGTAAAAAACAGGAATTTTATTTTACTATTATATTACTTTTTATTTTTTACAAATAATCAAGACCTATATTTTTATAAATATAAAGATTTTCAAAAAGTCCTGTCATTTATGTGCTGTCTTACACACCAGCAGAACTGAAAAAAATCAGAATATAAATATGAATTTCCACTTAATTCAGAGAAATCTGTTCAAAGAGAGGAGCTGGTTTATGAGCTCTTCTAATCACGTCTCATCAATAATGCATTTTCAAACTGACGGGACGCCCGAAACGCCGAACCCCAACAACATGAACCTCATTTTCTCACACGGACACCGACTAAACTTCAGCGTTTAGTTACAGTACAATTTTAATGAAATTACATTCACTGACGGCAGAGACGCAGAAATACACATGAAAAAGAAAACGCAAGCAGCAAAAATAGATCTTTAACTGGGTTGCTTTGGCTCATTACATTGCGAGAAATCATTTTTTCCATAATATGGAACAAATCTGTTAAAAACATCAATCATTTTGCCTTTTTTTCCCCCTGGTTTTTCAAGAAGGAAAATATTTCAAATATGTTTGGCTGAAGTTTCCCAAAGTTTCCACATCATCTCGACAACTGTAGGTTTCAGAGTCTGGAGTGTGTTGATAATGAGGCAAAGATCAAACATGTCAAAATCGTATACAAGCCTGTAATAATATCGTTGTTTATTTACTTATTTGTTATAATGTGTGTTAATATATATAAATCTTTAAATTGGCTAAGAGATAACCATATGGTTTATTATATTTAAAATGGTTAAATTTAGTTTAGTTAAAGTTAGTGAACATGTAGCTTTGTTAGCATATAGTTAGCAATATAGTCTAACCATTAGTCCAAGATAATAAAGATGATGTAATGGCTAAAATATATCGTGTTTTATTTTAATGTTTAATGTAAATGGACAACATTTTCCTTAGGTCTCATAAAAATCCTAGGAACCAATAACTTGATGTCTGTGTGTTCATACAGTTGATGCTCATGTTTGAGGCACAGGTCACACAAACTCCTCATCGTCTATACGTCGCTCTTATTTCCCTGCCCTATATACAGCATCTGTACCCGTCCGCCGTCTCTGCTCTGGAGGCTGATCTTCAGCTGCAGGCTTGTATGAAGCTCCACTTTCTTGTCTAGGCGATAAATAATGCAGCGTGCCGAGGCTAAGCAAGTTTCCAGTTAAATACCAATTTGCTTAACCAGTGTTTCAGCCTCTGCCAGCTCTGCTCAGTATAAAGCTGCAGCAGCAGAGAGCCATGAACACTGGCCTTGGTAATTAGAGAGGAGATCCACATCTACAAGAAGAAGAAGAGGAAGAGGAAGAAGAACAGGGAGGAGGTGGAAACTTCTACTGTTGCCTCAGAAGTTGTG